CGCATAGATCAATGAAACAGAAGAGAGTGCCCAGAAATAAACCCAAGCCTCTTTGGTCAATTAATATTCATCAAAGAAAACAGAAGCATAAAATGGAGTAAAAATAGCCTCTTCAAGAAATGGTGTTGGGAGATCTCAACAGCTACATGCAAAAATAAATAATAAATAAATAAATAAATAAAACTCAACCACCAACTTATACCATACACAAAAATAAATACAAGGTAGATAAAAACTGAAGTATAAGTCATGACACATAAAAGTCCTGGAGGAGGACATAGACAGAAAAATCTCAGACATTCCATGCATCAACATCTTCACCAATATATCCCCTAAAGCAAGGGACATAAAAGAAAGAATAAACAAATGGGACCTCATCCAATTAAAAATCTTCTGCATGGCAAAGGAAAACAGGATTAAAATGAAAATAGAACCAACTATATGGGAAAACATTTGCCAATGATACCTCAGACAAGGGTTTCATCTCAAAAAATACATAAAAGACTCTCACAACTTCACTCTCGAAGACAAACAATGCAATTTAAAAATGGGCAAAGACTTGAACAGGCACTTTTTAAAGAGGACATACAGAAGGCCTGGAGACATATAAAGATGCTCAATATCACAATCATCAGAGAGATGCAAATTAAAACCACAATGAGATACCACTTCACACCCATAATAATGGTCATCATAAGCAAATCAACAAAATACACGTGTTGGAGAGTATGTAAAGAAAAAGGAACCTTAGTGCCGTTGGTGGAAATACACACAGACAGGTGCAGCCACTGTGGAAAACAGTATGGAATTTTCTCTGAAAACTAAAAATAGAACTGCATTTTGACTCAGAATCCTGAAACTCCAATTCTTTTTTTAAATTTCTCTTTTTAATTAATTTTATTTAGTTATTTTTCAAGTACAGTTTTTTGTCTATTTTTCCCATCCCAGCCTCCCACGCCCCTTGCTCCCCACCTCCCTCCCATTTCCACACCCCTTAGTTCTCGTCCCTGTGTCCTTCCTATTTGTTCCTCCAAATCCCTCCCCCTTTCTCCCCTTAACTTCCCTTCCCTCTTCCCTCTGGTCACTGTCCCCTTGTTCTCTATTTCAGTGTCTTTGTTTTTTTTTTTCCTGCTTGCTTGTTTGTTTTGTTGTTTAGCTTCCTGTTAAAGGTGAGATCATATGGTATTTGTCTTTCAGCACCTGGCCTATTTCACTCAGCATAATGCTTTCCAGTTCCATCCATGTTGTTGCAAAAGGTAGTATCTCCTTCTTTCTTTCTGCAGCATAGAATTCCATTGTTTATATGTACCATGATTTTTTGATTTATTCATTTACTGATGGGCACCTAGGTTGCTTCCAACTCTTGGCTATTGTAAATTGTGCTGCTATGAACATTGTGGTGCATAGGTTCTTTGAGATTGATGTTTTAGGATTCTTAGGATATAATGAAACTCCAATTCTAAAGAACCTATGCACCCCAATGTTCACAGCAGTTCAATTTACAATAGCCAAGTGCTGGAAGCAACCTTAATGCCCATCCGTAAATGAATGGATCAAAAAACTATGGTACATTTACATAATGGAATACTACACAGCCGAAAGAAAGAAGGAGGTCCTACCCTTTGCTACAGTATGGATGGAACTTGAGAACATTATGCTAAGTTAAGGCTGTACGTGAGAGACAAATACTGTATGAGCTCACCGATAAGTGAAACCTAATCAACAAAACAAACAAACCAGGAAAATATAACCAGAGACATTGAAATTAAGAAGAAACTGATAGTAACCAGAGGGGAGGTGGGAGGGGATAATGGTGAGAAAAGGGGAAGGGTTTTCTGGAACAACTATAAAGGACACATGGATAAACCAAGAGGTTGTGGGATCAGGGGTGGGAGATGGTGATCACTGGGGTGGGGAGTGGGGGTGTAAAATGAAGACAACTGTACTTGAACAACTATATATGTATATTTCAATATAAGTAGCTTTAAAAAAGAACAACTTTTATGCCTTAGGGTTATCTCAATGGGTTCTTTTCAGGAACATCTTTTCTTGCTGTCTAGAGCTTGTTCCTTCTCTCCCTTCAGATTTTATCTCAGATATCACTTCTTCTAAATTATCTTTCCTAATTATCCTCTCTAGGTAGGCTATCATTGGCTTCAAGCTCCTTGAAGGGCTTCTCAGAGATGTTCCAGTATGCATAAGATGTTCTGGGGTGGATGTGTTGCTGTCAGTATTATGATAATGACTTCAAGACTATTTGTTAGGACTGTTATTTTCAATGGCTGGAGCCTAGATTACCTTTGGAGCTTTGGGGAAAATAACAAGTGTTTGGGAAGAAGTATCAAATTACAATCAGGGATAGATGGAAAAATGGCCCCAGAGAGGTTAACTCATAGCCTAGGTGTTCCAGAGGTGTGGTCCAAGGAACAGCTAGCACACCATTCACTTTCAACACCTTTCTCAAGTGTTTCTGTGCGTGAGAAGACTGTAGAGGACCTCACAAATATCATCATTTTCTCTTTATGACTCCCATAATATATAGGTATATCTTTGCCAATGAAACAATTACCCCTGGGTGGGACAGGATGAGTTAAGTAAAGGAAGTAAAATATATGGTACTAGAATAAATCTAGCTTCAGGATGATGAGCACACAATATGATATACAAATATCAAATTACAATGTTGTCCACCAAAATTTACATGTTATTAAACAATGTTACCACTATAAACTGAATTTAAAATATAATCTCTGACATATACTAGCCACACCATTAATTTTTTGAATGACCGAATAAACATAGTCATTTTCCTTTCTTAACTGCGACTTCACCAGAGTGCTCCAAGATCCCAAACAAAGCATGGCAGTAATTATATGATACATATGGAGTCTTGTGGGGCTGCATTCCAATTCTATCTTAACACTTTTTATTACATATTCCTCACCTGAGAATGTAGAAACTGTATTTCATAAAGACTTTGGAGAAGTAATTCATTAAAAATTTTGCCTACTTATCCCTGTGAATGAACCTGGGCTGTAGCAATCAGCAAGCAGACAGGTGCTAGAGTCAGAGCAAAGGTACTACACACAGGAGCACAGAAGATCAATTATGAACATTTATGCCCTCTTTCCTGGCCTATTTCTCATGAAAAGAAGGTGCACTGTGGTGGAATGTGTCCATTGGTAGAAACTACATGAGAGTAAATGAGTGTGCCTTTTAAAAAAATATGGAATGCTTCACAAATTTGTGTGTCAACCTTGTGTAGGGGCCATGTTTATTTTCTCTGAATTATTCCAAATTTAGTATATGTGCTGCTGAAGTGAGCATATGAGTGTATCTTTGATGTGACACTACCCTAAAGAAAAGTCACCATGCTGCCAAGCACGGTAACCACAGATACCTGGCAACCACAAATATCATGTTGCTAATCCAGACAACTGGGAAAAAGCAATGAGATGGTTAAGGGAAATGCAGAGGCTACTGAATTATGGTAAGCTAGGCTCATTATTTATTAAAAGACCAATAAAAGTCAACTCAATCTCCTGTGGAAGAATTGGTGCCTGGCCATATGTCCAGATGCAAACATACCCTATCTTTAAGAGGGTATTCAGAGGAAACATGCTTTATTGATATTCTGCAACATTAAAATATCTTCAAAATAACAAAATATTTTATGTTCATTGCAGCTTGAGAAATATCTAAAACAACATTTTGCAAAGAGTTTCATGCTGCACAAATGTGACTTGATTGGCTAATATAGGCTCTTAAGTAAACTTAAAAATTCCTTGAGCCAATTAATTGAAAACATTCTGTATACAAAAACCTCTTTTGGGAGATACAAATACACATAAGAACACTCATTAAAACACTAAAAATATATGCAATAAAATATGGTTATTTGTTTTGAAACTTTCATTGCTGATTTTAATTCTCATACTCTTTTTACAGGGTGAATGAGACAATGGCCAGCAATTATCAACAAGCTTTAGAAATAGAGTCCTGTGAAAATATAACAACATACAGGACTACAATAAATTTTACTCTCTGTGAATTCTGGTTTCGAGAGACTATATCAATGATAATGAGATCCAGGTTTATAGCTGTCACAAAAATGAGTCACAGCTATAGAAAGGAAGGACTAGAATGAGTCATATTGTGTTGGAATTGGTGTCAATATGATCTCATGGTTTTTAATATACAGACATATAAAAATAGATGTTCATATGTATGTTAGTGTATTTCCTAGCTCTGTTCACTGAGGGAGTCTAGAATAATATTTCTCAATCTCAGTACTGTTGACATTCTGTACATAATAGTTGTTTATTGTGGGTGGACTATCTTATGCATTACAGAATGATTAGCAGCATCTCTAATCCACTAGGTGCCAGTAGCACCATGCCCCCTGCAACTTTTGACAACCCAAACTGTCTCTAGACAAAAATAAATGTCCCTTGGGAGGCAAAAATGACTCGGTTTAAGAATCACTATCTTAGACACAACAGCATCCCAGTATTTTAGAAGGTCCTAAATGAGCAGTCAGTGGTGGAGAAAAAGAGGAAATAAATAGATGACTTTTATACCTATAGTGGGTCTTTTTAAAAAGAAAAGCACAATGCAAAGAATGCAAGTGAAACCAAATCTAATTGACTTAAGAGCATACGGTCTTCATTTGAAAAGAAATGAGGAGGTTCACAAACTTGATGGACGCCTGTATGACCAGACTTGGAAATGAGCACAGACTGAGAAGCATCAGGTATCCAGAACATGGCAATGTCACACCTTCCAAAACACCTGGTCCAGGATGTACCTCCTACTACCCCTAGGCAGTGGACCATTCCATTAGCACTGTGGTGTGATAGTGAAGAGGTCTGCCAAGTCTACCTTAACAGACATGGACATTGCATTACTCCACTTCTTGTTAATCTGTTCTTTTCCTTTTGTAAACTTATCCCCAATTTATAATCCAGAATCAGAGTATCTGATTTGTGTCTGTGTCCTACCTTCCAGGAAGCAGGAAGAGGTGCCTTTCTCAGCTTTCACAAAAGATGGAGCTCTGATTTCCTACACAACACAAGGGGATACCTAGAAGAGGAAGTTGATTCAGACACTAAACAGCCCAGAGAATGAAAAGTTAAAGCTGCAAAATTTCAGTACAAAAACTTAAAATAAATATTATATTAAAACTTGAAATAATCAAATTTGTTTCAGTAGCATAAGTAGAAAAGAGTCACAGGGTTATTCTGAAAGTCTTTTCTTCCTCAGCGCATTTCTAAAATAAAACTAAGATTACTAGATTTAAAGTAACTGGAACCTTCAGAATCATTAGTAAGGACTAACTTATAGTAATTGCTTTTATGATAGTATATGAAATGGATACATACACATTGTGTTGCATAGTAGTTGAACAGGTTTTATTCTTGTGTCTTAAGGTCACAGCTAAATGTTAGTCACTGCGCATTTGATTAACTGGTGCTTGGTTTCATTCATATGGTCCTGTTTAGATTTACTTCTCAATTCCCAATTAGCCAAACAAGGACACTAGTCAATCATCCAACAAGAATTTTATCAATGCTTTGGGCCTAAGACCAAGGATTTACTCAATAACATGAAGACCATTCTGTTGCCCATATCCTGTCTACATAGCCCTGCTGCCAGTGGGCCATAGTCTGGCAATATCAACATCACCTGGCAGTGTTTCAGAAATGCACAATCTCATATTTGCTCTAGAACTACTGAATCAGAACCTTCATTTAACAAGCTCCATAAGCATTTCATGTACACATTCAGTTTGAGAAGCCCCAGTGCACAACTCCCCCACATACAGATAGGCTTTATGAGCGGTGCTATCCCATCTGGGATGTTGCTCACCTGCTTTGCATATCAGGTCACCAGCATCTTTTCTCCAGTTGTTAGCAGGGATAAACTCAGTTCAAAGATTACTAGGCTCTTGCCTTAATCTCATGCCCCTGTGCTATGGAAAGCCTCTGTGTTATGATGTCTTGTGAACTGCCACTTTGTGATAGTCAAGCCCCATTTCCCCCAGTGACATTGAGGATATGAAGAGCTCCACACATGGTTTGCCTTGAATCATACTATTTCCCCCTCCTCTTCTCTCAGACCCTCTCCAGGGATGCACTCACAGGGAAAAATGGCCCAAAGGAAAGTAATGTTCCTGTGCATTCCTGGTCGGTCAAGCTCCCAGGGATTCTCAGGGCAAATCTTCCTGGTAAATTCTAAGATGCAGTCTTCATGCTATCCTCCTCCATAGGCCTGTGTGGACCTCCTGGTTCAATTGGTAAACACAGAGAGAATGGCCAGTCTATCACAAGTCTGTCCTTCACACTGTGCTCTCAGCTTGAGAATAGGAAGTGAGAATGGAAAGGAGAAAATCTGGAGTTCCTCTTGTGTGCTAGGAGAGGTTTAGTTCTTCATGTTAGGCCTGTGGAGAGGAAATGAAAGAGGAAGTGGAAAGCAAACCTGCTTCGAATGGGACAGGAAATGAAGGAGCTAAGAAAACCCCAGTTCCTCAATTAAACACACAGTCTCACAGGCTGACTTGTCTGGATCCCATAGAGAGTGGTCAGAGCCATTCAGTGAACAAGTGCTGATGAAAAACAAAAGCCTGAGCCAGACACCTTATTATAGGAAGGTGTGTATTTAGCCAATTCCAGACCAATTCCCAGACCAAGCACCATACTGCAGCCTCTGCAATGCAGGGAAGGCCCTTTCCAACCTGCTCCTTCCCCATCCAGTCAAATCAAGTATCAATGCCAGCAAACTTGAGATTTCTGACATTTAATTAAGTACAAGAGAGTTGGAAAACAATAAAGTCCTTTATTCTATCTTCTTCAGTTCTCACAAGAAGAAATTTAAATTCTGGAAGGGATAAAGCTCAAATTTATCCAAACCAGTTAAAGAGGAAGACTGGGCTAATTGTTGAGAATTCAGGCCACTTAAGAAATCAGCTTTAGGACTTCCGGCCAAGACAGAGGCGTAGGTGTAGGCACTGTGCTTCCTCACACAACCAAATTTAAGGACAACAAAGATTCAGAAACAAAAACACAACCAGAAGAGACAGAAAATTGAACTGTACCAAAGTCTGACAACAACAAACCATTCATCCAGACTAATAAGAGGGGTGGAGTTGGTGGCTGGTGGAGAGGGGTCCCAGCAGGAAGAGGCATTAGTTAGCAGAACTGGGTTCGGGGAGGAATCTAGCAAACAAAGTGAGAAGTGCAAGGTGGTTGGCTGACCACAGACACACATTTGTGTGCAGATAAATTAGGCAAAAAAACAGGCAGTGAGACAGACCATGCAACCTATGGCCCCAGTGATGAGAAATAAAGCCTAAAAGCACCAATCAAAAAACTTTTGGGGGTCAAGGTGGCAGAAGAGGCTCCCAGCCTCACAGGAGAGTTTGTTGGAGAGACCCACAGGGTCCTAGAATGTGCACAAGCCCACCCATCCAGAAACCAGCACCAGAAGGGCCCAGTTTGCTTGTGGGAAGTGGCAGAGGGAACTGAAATCTTTGAGAGTGCAGAACAAGTGCCATTATTCCCTCTCTGACCCCACCCCCACATACAGCTTCACAACCCAGCAATGTGGGTTGCCCCACCCTAGTGAACACCTAAGGCTCCACCACTCATATGTAACAGGTGCAAATAGATCAAAATATTATAGCTCAAGCAGAAAAACAGCTCAAAGTCCCAGAGCCAATACCTTTAAGTGACCAAGAGATAGCCAACCTATCAGATGCACGGTTCAAAACACTGGTGACCAGGATGCTCACAGAACTTGTTGATTTTGGTCACAAATTAGATGAATAAATGAAGGGTACACTAAGTGAAATGAAGGAAAATGCACAGAGACCCAATAGTGATAAAAAAAAAAAACTGGGACTCAAATCAATGGAGTAGACCAGAAGGAAGAAAACAAGAATTCAAAAAATGAGGAGAGGCTTAGGAATCTCCAGGACATCTTAAACATTCCAAAATCTAAATTACAGGGGCACCAGAAGGAGAAGAGGAAGAGCAACAAGTGGAAAACTTACTTGAACAAATAATAAAGAAAAACTCCCCCAATCTTGCAAAGGAAATAGACTTCCAGGAAGTCCAGAAAGCTCAGAGAGTCCCAAAGAAGTTGGTCCCAAGGAGGAACACACCAAGATACATCATAATTACATTACCCAAGATTAAAATGAAGCAGACAATTCTAGAAGCAGCAAGAGATAAAGGGACAGTCACCTACAAAGGAGTTCCCATCAGGCTGTCAGCTGACTTCTCAAAATAGACCTTACAGGCAAGAAGGGGCGGGAAAGAAGTATTTCAAGTCATGAAATGCAAGGACCTCTATCCAAGATTGCTCTATCCAGCTAAGCTTTTGTTTAGAAGGGAAGGGCAAATAAAGCGCTTCTCAGATAAGGTCAAGTTCAAGTTCATCATCACCAAGCCCTTACTATATGAAATGTTAAAGGGATTTATCTAAGAAAAAGAAGATTAAAAATATAAACAGTGGATGGACAACAAACTCACAGTTATTAACAACCATACTTATAACAAAAGTAAACTAAGCAGACACCTAAAACAGGAGCAGAGCCTCAGAAATGGAGATCACATGGAAAGTTACCAACAGGGGAGTGGGAGGAGGAGAGGGAGGGAGAAGGTACAGAGAATAAGTAGCATAGATGGTGGGGAGAAAATAGGGAGAGGGCAATGGTAGTGTGGGAAATGTAGAAGCTAAAGAACTTATGACACATGGACGTGAACTAAAGTGGGGGAATGTGGGTGGGAGAGGGTGTGCAGGGTAGAGGGGAATGAAGAAGGGGAAATGGAACAACTGAAATGGCATAATCAATGAAATATATTTAAAAAAAGAAATCAGCTTTAGAATCTCCAAAGTATTCCAAAACTGAGCAAATAAGAACCTTTACTCACACCAATTACTTGTTTTGTTTTAATCAACTTCTTTAGGTCAGTATATCCATACCCACAAAAGATCATATCAGTAAAAATTGTGTTACCTACACACACTGTTGTCTTTTTCTTGAAGTATCAACATAGAAAACTTCAGTGTGTTTTGTAATTTATTGAGCTCTTGCATGGATCAGTAGGACTGGAATTACTGAATGTTACTGAGAAGCAACTGTGAGCCAAAGGTTACATCAAAAATTGAAAGACTATCTAGGTACTTATCAAAAATGATAACCCTTGTGGGGGCAACTTTGCCTGCAAGTCCTGCCATCCGCCATGAATGAAAATAAAACTGCCAAGACATGATCTGCTTAGGGAAAAGAGGTGGTTAATTTCTCCAAGAAGAAAGAGCCCCTTCCTCAGTGGCTTTTATTGGGTTGTAATACACAGGAATACAGGGGGTAAGGATCAAACAGTAGATAACATTTCAAAGAAATCTGAGATCTTAGTCTGAGTCAGTGTCTTTCAGGTAAAGGAGTTGCAAAACTTTGGGATACATACTCATTTATTGCTTGGACCCTTATCATATGAATGAAAGCACTCTTAGCAAAGCAGGCTTCACGGGACTTTTAGGAACTCTTTCCTATGCCTGATCACCCCAGATCCTGCTCTAGTTGGCAAGGGGCTGCACCACCTCTTCATCAGAGGTTTTCAGCCTTAAGTGGATTAGAGCCAGGAAGTGCTTCTCCCAGAGGACATGAGGACTCAGGCTATGTCAGAATAGCTGGGGGGTGAGGGTCCATCACTACCTCTTTGTTGAAGCCCCTGAGTCCTTCCATGATGGCCTCCCAAGTTATCATGTCTGGCTTAGGTTTCCCCTCCTCTGAGGAGTTTTACCCATCATAGACTAACTGACCAAGCATTGGGGGCTGAAGGATGAAACAGAAGCAGCATTTGCTACCAGAGATGAGCTTTGTCTCCTTAGTGGCTCGCATTCCGGAGGTTTCTCACTCAGCCATGGAGGGCAGTTACAACTCCTGAAACCAGGCAGAGCAGTTCCCAACAAACCCTGATGATTGGCATGGTATCTGTGCCAAGATTGGAGAGAAAACACTGGTACTCCCCTTCCAGCTCCCACCCTGACTAGGCATGCTCATGTGTCCCCAGCTTGATACTAGTCACTCTCTTTTTTGTTCCGTTTGGCCTCACCCATCACTTCATTTTCACAGAAGGAGAATAGATTTGGTTCATATCCCCTTTCAGACCGAGTGATTATGAGGGATGTACGGATCTTTTCTAACCTCCATTTTGATATGTATAAAACAGGGGTCACATATACCAGAATTGTCTGCAAATTAACTGAGGAAGCACATACAAAAGGGTACAGGAAGAAGAAGAGATTATATTAAAAGCATTCATTTCCCTGCTTCCACCCCTCTATTCCTACCTTTGCCTTATCAAGGTCACTCCTCTTTCTTACCTTGCAGCATTATCCTCTTCCCACCCATTCTCACAGCCTCAGAGTGACAGGAAATTCAATTTATTAAGCACTGTGGTGGTGATTTAAAAAACCCCACATTCATCGAATGACATTTTCTACTGCATATTCCTTAATCTCAGGTCTCTATGCAGCCATTGAACACTTACCTGGCCATGGAAATCTGATCAGCAGAACAAGAGAGTCAGAATGAGGACTTCCAACTCACAGAGTACAAATAACATTTTCTTAATATTTGGCTTCTCAACAGAGATGAGTAACAATCTCAGACATCATTGACCTCAGAGTTGGAATTCTAGAGAGGCTAGTCCCACTTCCTCCATGATCATGTCCTCTGTCTGACATTTTCATAAGAGATTGAAAGCTATAGCTGCTTGAGCCTACCATCAAGCAGTTAACCAGAAATAGTGGGTGATACTGGACCTCAATAGCAACCCAGAAGATGCTGCTATGTGTCTGGACCATGAATGAGCCTCTCAGAGACACAAATTTCAGAGATATCGACTTCAGGCAGGCTGTACACCATCTTCTTCTGTCCTGACCCCAGAGGGGACAAAGGGAGAGAGTTCCTGACCCACAGAATGGGGGCAGGGGAGGCAGATCTGCCTACTTATGAAGGGTAGGAAGATCACAGATGACAAAGGATAAGATGAGGATAGGAAGAGTGGAAGGGAAAGAGGAACAGCCTAAGGTCAGTACCTAATATCAGGTACTCTTTCACCCCAGAGCTCCAGAAGCAGTGGCTCTCAGGTGTGGTTCAGAATCAGGTGAGACCTCACTGGCCCTGCCTGAGTGGTATTTGAATTCCTTGGGCTGTCCCAGAGTCACCCATCAGGTCTTCTCTTTAAGGAACTTCCTGGGACTCTTCCTGACTCCTTTT